TCAATGAAGATGAATTTCCAGCGTTAGGGGGAGGAATTAAACAAATACCAAAAGATATTACATGGTCTACACCATCTTTGGTATATCTTGATCCTCCTACAAATCAACGTGAGCTGGAAGTTCAGAAAATTATACATTTACAAAATTTGGCAAATCAATTACCAGATGCGTTTACAGATACAAAAAAGGTGACAAAATCATACATTCCCGCTGCAAATGTCCCATCAAGAGTTGAAATTCCTAGAGAGGAATTCGATGGAAGCAAAACTAATGAACCTAAGGTTCAATTGAAGCGTGGAAGGCCAATGGGCTCGAAAAATAAAAATCCCCGAAAGAAAAAGAAAATGGGAGATGAAAATGAAAAGGTTCAAGAAGAACCTAATAAAGAGAAAAATCCTCAGGACAATACAGAAAAATATGAGATTTCCATTAACTATGCCCAAGATGGAAAATTATGGGCTAGAGATGAAATCGATGATGATGATGGAATATTTTCTTTTTCTGTATCTAAAGAGATCGATCATGAAAATGATGATCCCGATCCAAGGTCCGTATCAGAATGCCAACAAAGGACTGATTGGGAGAAATGGAAAACTGCAATGCAAATTGAGTTGCTCTCCCTCAATAAAAGAGATGTCTTTGGACCTCTTGTCACTACATCTAAAGATGTAAAACCTGTTGGCTGCAAGTGGGTATTTGTGCGAAAAAAAAATGAAAAAGATGAAATCACACGATATAAAGCCCGACTTGTTGCACAAGGTTTTTCTCAAAGACCTGGAATTGATTATGAAGAAACATATTCTCCGGTCATGGATGCAATTACATTCAGGTACTTAATGAGCCTAGCGGCCTCTAATAATTTAGAAATGTACCTAATGGATGTAGTAACAGCATATCTATACGGATCATTGGAAAATAATATTTATATGAAAATCCCAGAAGGATTTAAAGTTCCTGAGGTATTAGACTCAAAGTCTAATGAAATATGTGCGGTCAAATTACAGCGATCACTTTACGGATTAAAACAATCCGGACGCATGTGGTATAATCGTTTAAGCGATTATTTATTAAAGAAAGGGTATGTTAATAATGAAATATGCCCTTGCGTCTTTATTAAGAAATCTCCATCGGGATTTGTGATCATTGCTGTATATGTTGATGACCTAAACATAATTGGAACTCAAAAGGAGATTGATGATGCAAGAACTCATATGAAAGAAGAGTTCGAAATGAAAGATCTCGGAAAGACAAAATTTTGTCTCGGACTCCAAATAGAGTATTTCCAAGACGGAATATTTGTGCATCAATCAAACTATACCAAAAGAATCATTAAGCGTTTTTATATGGATAAAGCGCATCCTTTGAGTACTCCAATGGTCAATAGATCTCTGAATGTTGATAATGATCCATTCAGACCTTGTGAAGATAACGAAGAAATACTTGGTCCCGAAGTACCTTACATGAGTGCTATCGGTGGACTTATGTATCTTGCAAATTGCACCAGACCGGACATTGCATTTGCCACTAATCTACTTGCAAGATACAATCATCCCCTATCCACAGACATTGGAATGGGATAAAACACATCTTTCGCTATCTTCAAGGTACGATTGACCTAGGATTATTCTATCCTAGAAACTCTGCGTTTGGTCTAGTTGGTTTTGCAGATGCATGATATTTATCGGATCCCCATAAATCTCGGTCCCAAACTGGATACGTTTTCACAATCGGAGGAACTGCAATCTCGTGGCGTTCTCAGAAACAGACTTTGGTCGCCACCTCTTCAAACCATGCAGAAATGATTGCGCTTCATGAAGCCTGCAGAGAATGTATGTGGCTTAGATCTATGACCAACCACATACAAGAAGCAAGTGGAATAGCCTCTAGTAAAGAGCCGACAACATTATTCGAAGATAATGCTGCATGCGTCGCCCAAATTAAAGAAGGTTATATCAAAAGCGACAGAACGAAGCATATCCCTCCAAGGTTTTTCTCCTACACTCAAGAACTCGAGAAAAACAAAGAAGTTGATATCCAATATATCCACTCAAGTGACAACGCAGCAGACCTGTTTACAAAAGCGCTTCCCACTTCAACCTTCAGAAAGCATATTCATAACATTGGGATGCGTAGTCTACGAGAATTATGAAGAAAAGATGACATCTATTTTCCAGGGGGAGATTACGTTATTGTACTCTTTTTCCCTTATCATGGTTTTTATACCACAGGGTTTTTCCATGATAAGGTTTTTAACGAGGCAATACGTAATACGGCAATAATGATGACTAATCAAGGGGGAGTATTGTGAAGCATGATTAATCATCATCACACTTGTCTTTGTAAGACAAATCCCCATCACCATACACATGTCTTCTCTATATTAAGAGGTTATAACCTCATCATCATCCATGTGTCAACCTCTAATCTTGTAAACTTTACTATAAATATGTGTAATCAAAGTTGTAGAGAACGTGGAATAAAAAGCTTCATATATACTCTTGTTACTCTCTCTCTAGTCACCAAAAATCTCTCTCTCTCTCTCTAACACACATAGATATAGTTGTGTTGTAATTTTATTTAACAAGTATCAATTATTTGGGAATAAAAGAATTTGATGGCCAAGTAATGTTCAAAAGATAAGATTAAAGATGAGATCAAATGATCAAATCTAGTGATAGATAATCACTTTGTTTTCTAACATTTCCTTTGATTATCTATCATTATTGATATATTGCGTACTGTTTCGCTAAAAACTTTATCATACCAAAATTTATTGGATAAAAACCATAATAAAGAAAAAAAAAAGTACAGTAAATCTTTCCTTGAAAAAGTAAGTATAATTTTTTTTTCATAGATCTTGTAGATGATGCATTCCAATACTATGAATATGCTTTCTGAATGTTGACGTGGAAAGCGCCTTTGTAAAGGTCTGATGCGTTGTCACTTGAACAGATATATATTGGATATCAACTTCCTTGTTTTTTTCGAGTTCTTTAGTATAGGAGAAAAACCTTGTAGACATATGTTTTGTTCTATCGCTCTTGATATAACCTTCTTTGATTTGGACGACACATGCATCATTGTCTTTGAATAATGATGTCGACTCTTTACTGGTAACTATTCCATTTGCTTCTTGTATGTGCTTAGTCATAATAATAATAATAATATATTTTTCTAAATGAAACGTGTACTCCTTCTTTTTTTACAAAAGTGTCATAAGTACAAAAAAATAGTTTTTCTTTCAAATTAGTAAGCTAAAATAATAGGGATAAAAAAAAAATTTAGCCTCAAGAACTACATTAAAAATTTAAACCATACTTTTGTGAAACAAAAATAAAATTTATATCGACATTATTTGTAAAAAAGATAGAGTATCAAGTTTTAGTAGGATAGCCTAGTACTCCATCTCTTTCACAAAAAAATGTCATTCTAGCATTTGTCACACAAGTTAAAAAAGTAAACAAATTTTTTTTCAATTATTTATTAGGGAGACTCACAAAAATGCCCCTTTTCAATGCCCCTTTTCAATACCCCTTTTCAAAAATGCCCCCTTTGACTGTCCATTTTTAAAAATACCCCTTTTTATGTACAAAATGACTAAATTACCTTTCTTTTAATAAAAGATATCACAAATATATAAGGAAATATAACAAAATTAGGTCCACAAAATACAAAATATTTTTTGGCGGGAAAAGTGATCCCGCAATTTTTCCCGCCAAAACACTTGTAAAAACTTGTAAAACCTTTAAAATACCTTGTAAATTTTTCCCGTAAAATTTTTTCCCGCCAAAAAAAATTTTTTGCGGGAAAAGTGATTCCGCAATTTTTTTGGCGTTTAATTTTTGGCGGGAAAAATTTACAAGGTATTTTAAAGGTTTTTTACAGGGTATTTATAAGGTTTTACAATGTATTTTAAAAGGTTTTACAACGTATTTATAAGGTATTTATAAGATATTATACGATTTTACAAGCTATTTTATAAGGTTTTACAAGTTTTTTATAAGGTTTTACAACTTATAAATACCTTATAAAACCTTATAAGTACCTTGTAAAACCTTTTAAAATACATTGTAAAACCTTACAAAACACTTGTAAATACTCTGTAAAAAACCTTTAAAATACCTTGTAAAATTTTCCCGCCAAAAAAATTGCGGAATCACTTTTCCCGCAAAAAAAATTTTTTGGCGGGAAAATTTTTTGGCGGGAAAAATTTTTACGGGAAAATTTTACAAGGTATTTTAAAGGTTTTTACAAGTGTTTTGGCGGGAAAATTGCGGGATCACTTTTCCCGCCAAAAAATATTTTGTATTTTGTGGACCTAATTTTGTTTCAAATAAGGGTAAAATGGTCATTAAAAATTAAAAGAGGGCAAACTTAAAAATGGACTCTCAAAGGGGGCATTTTTGAAAAGGGGTATTGAAAAAGGGGCATTTTTAACAATTTCTCTATTTATTAATACACTGTCACTAAATAATACTCTATATCTAATTAGTAATCTAAAATAATAGGAATAACAAAGATAATTGGTCTTAAAAACTGCATTGAAAACACAAAACGATATTTTTTTTGTGGAACAAAATGGAAAAAGTAATGTCCTTTTCACAATTATTGCATTCAATTTATTTTTCTATCATATTCCATAAGCTTACAGAAAATTCAAAATTCAACCATTTTTTCTCGTAGATTCATCACATATATTTTTGAAAAAAATGTACAACTTAATTATTCAGAATATTACTTTATATTTTCTGTAAATATATGAATGTATTACGATGTAGATTCAATAGTAAGATGCAGCAACAATGTACCGAGTCTTGTACAAACAGTGCAAAACAATTTTGCAATACTTTTAATCCAATTTCTCATTCTCACCATTGATTAAATTCGAAAAAACCATATAGAAATTAGGAAAAAATATTAGGCAGCAACTGAAAAAAAAAAAGCATTCAGTACATGTAGTTAAAACTAAATAATGACACTAAAAAACTAATAAGCCAATTTCTCCAATATGCAGTTTCTTTCTTCTTCTTTATTTTTTTGTCCCCGTGAAAATAAAAGAAGAGAAGGAAACAAAAACTAAGAGATAATATCATCAATGAACAACAACTTGTTGATCATCGATGAGCATCACTGAGCTGTGATGATGAACCATGTGCCACCTTCCATTATGGAACTCAAACACATTGGTGATGAGGAATGGACCACCGTCCACGTTCAGGTATGCTTTCATGGTGACCCAGGCCATGTCCGTTAGTATCCGAGTGCGAACCGTGTGGACCTGAAAGTCAAACCCTTGTTCCCAGTTGAAACAAAGTTGCCAGCTTTGCATCACTTCATTGTACCTGCATTGGACAGAGCAAAACATAGATAATTCATACCGATTTCTTTCAAACAAATCCACAAAGATGTCTCAAACAAATCCACAAAGATGTCTCTAGCCAATTTGAGGATAACCAAATCTAGAACACAGATGCATAAGAATGTAATTGTGCAAGTAGACTCAAACAACGTAATCACATTTCCCGTTCTTATTCAGGATATGGAATATGCTGAGAGAATCCAAATTCTATTAGAGCCACTATGGGATATACCAGTGTTAACTATGTTATCCTACTGCTGTATATCTTTCGCTTTAGCGTTTTTACTAAATCAAACAATACTTTTAACATCTTGTATCACTAGGAACTGCACAAGAGCATTGTTCCGCTAGTATACTCAAACTTAGATAACATCTAAAGGACACACTTTACAGCTACAGAACATGCTAGGTACACATTAGGATAACAGAACCGGAAACCAAACGATGATATTAAAGGCATTCCTCATACACAAAAGCAAGGTTATGAATGAAAGGTGGAGTAGTTGTTACCCGGAGAAGAGTTCACCAGAGGCATGGATACACTTAACATAGTCCGAGTTCAACCATAAACGAGCCATCGCTTGAAGAGCTCTGTCTCTAATGATGCTGAAGAATTCAGTATTCACACTAATAATCGCTCTAGTAGTTGCATAGTAAGCTTTCCACCCATTGACTGGAGTTATACCATCTTGCTCCATCGTAAAATCCTAATACACATGAAAACAAGTAAGACAAAGAACAAAAGAGAACCATTCATTAAACCTAGAATACATGTTTTAACCTAGAATCATTTCTGAATTTTCCAATACACAAAGCTAATACAAATGAGTGATTAGTGAGTTTAATTACCTTGTGATAAAGAGCTTTCCAAGCATTATCATCATTAGCAGCTTTCCTCATCAAGGAATTAGTCATGGATAAGCGACAGAGACTTGGATAATCCAAGTAACTAAGCGCGTGGGTTGTAATTTCCGGAACTAACTGCTCCATCATTGAAACTCCCGGCTTATCATCCGCCACCGTGGAGGAAGCCGTAACCTCCGTTCTCTCTACGCCACACAGAGGAGGCGTAACACCGTTCGCCAGCGGCGTCGACGGCATAGGTTTGTTGTCCAGTTTTCTCTACAGAGGAATAGATCGAGAGAGGAAAAAAACGATTGCGATTGATACTGCGATTATGAAGAACAATAAAGACATGAGAACTTGGTAAACATGAATCAGAAAAAAATAACCTAGAGAAGAAGGAGCTTGAAAGGTGACGCACTTAGGGTTTAATGGTGGTTTCCTTCTTCTGACGAAACCCTAGAAATGAATTTGGCGAGACGAAGAAGAGAGAGAGAGAGATTCAGAAGCTTTTTTGTCTCCAACTCCGTAACTGACCATCGCAAATGTTTATCAAAATGTGTCACTGTAGGAAATAGCCTTAAGTTTCAAGGGTATTATGGTCATTTACGATGTATGTTTATCCAAAAGAAAACAGATACGTCGTCGTTTTATTACTTTCAGAAAACAGAAATAAATGAGACAGGTTAGGCCCAAGAGGCTTTTTTTCAGGAATTTCAATGATTTGACCCAAACTCCATATTTCTTGTGAACCACGCTATCATCTTCTTCTTTTTCATTTGGCGATTTAAGTTTAAGCTTACTAGTTCAATTTAATCACAGTGACGAAAAAGTATGCAATTAATAAAATATATCTTTTTCATCTCCAAATTTTTTTCCAAAAACTGTCAGCGACCAAGTAAATCTCAGTTTCAGACACATTTGGGTCTGTCTGGTCTGGGTCGGGTAAAACAAGAATTGATTTTCTTGCCCTAAGAGAAGACTGAATCTCCAAAACTCGTGGAGAAGACAAAAGAGAGATGCTAATTAAAATCTATTTACGTTTTTGTACTGAACTACTTTGTTTCTTCATCTTATTTACGCGTCTGATTGTCATTTGCCCTTGTCCTTGTCCTTGTGGTGAGCTCCAGAGGAAGCGGTTTCGACGTATTGCTCGGCAAGTTTCTTGATCTTGTCTCCTTCTTTGATCAAGAAGTTAGCACTCTTGGCTTTGCTATGATACTTCATCACTTTCTCTGTGGTTTTCGTCACTGCCCATCTGTATTGTTCCACGTTTATCACTCCGCTCTTGCATAGTGGTCTGATATGTTCTTTGATGTATATTTCCACCTTAAGAAAACAATAAACCCATTGAAGACAAAGGAAACGGGAATTTGTTTTGACATAGTGAGAGTTATACAGTTTTTAGTACCTTCTTGGTGATGGAGTTACCAAACCCATCAGCTTTGCCTTTTTCCTCTTTAGACGGCTTTTCGCTTGGTTTGCACTTTTGAATGCTTCTGGGAAGTTTTTTCTCTTGAATGGAAGGGATTTCAAAGTTTGAAGCGATGAACTCTCTCTGCGTGTTGCTCTCGCACTCTGAATCAGGTGCTTTAGCTTTAACACCATTCTCATCAAATCCTTCAATGAGAGGTTTCTCAACTAGTTTCTCTGTACCAGGTCCGTATAGTTCTTCACATTCAGCTACAGAAAGGATCTCACCTCCTCCTTCTCCTTCTCCTTCTCCTTCTCCTTCTCCTTCACCCTCGGCCTCGGGTACAGGCTCCATAGGAACAAAGCTCTTTCCATCTTCTTTGCCATTTCTGGTCTCCTTTTGGTTCTCAGTTGTCTCTTCATCCCCCAAGACTTCAGATTGTATCAAAGACTTTTCAGGTTGAATAGTGGACAAAACTACCTTCACCTTAGTCAGGCTTTCATCCGGCTGCGTTACTGAAGCTTTTGTAGTCATGGTAGCACCCATATAGTCTTCTTCACCCAATTCATACTCAAAATCCCCAAAGATGTCTGTATCAGGAACGGAATCTAAGTCAAGTACATTATCTGGGCCTGCCCTTGCTTTGTCCAAGAAACTGTCTCCTTTCTCTGGAGGAACTTCTGTTGAACGGGTTGGGCTGTTTGGTGGTGAATCAGCAAGACCTGCTGCTCTGAGCGCTTCAAGGACGGCGGGATCATCTGAATCTTTACCACTAATACGTTCTGTATCGTTAACAGCCATTGGTGATGACGAATTCGGTTCTACAGCATTATCCATCGCTTTGCTCTCTGAATGATGAAGTATTTCTTGTGAGCATAAATTCAGATACACAACTTTGCTACTTGATTTGTCAGCGATCGCTTTCTCGATATTTATAGCATCAGCAACGGCTAGTTCTGTTGCTGCACTTCTTCGAACAGACAGAAGGTTTTCTTTCTTTAAGAAATGTTCTGTCAGGCGATATAATTGTGTCTGCAGAAATAGCAATTTGCTTAGGAACAAAAACCAGCACATGTGCAAGTAATAAAGCTAGCTATTTCACAAGTTGTGATGTTAATAATGTTGTGGCAGGAAAATCAATAACAGATTAGCCTCAATTTTCTGTATTATCAGTTTAAATATGTAACCGTAATAAAAGCACATACGGAACTGATGAAGCTAGCTATAGACAAGTATTAAATCTTATTGTTTTCCAAAAATAATTTTGATCCTCGAATTAGGACCAACGAGAAAATATTATATAATGACAATCTTATCAAACAATAGAGCAGATCTTTCACAGGTTTCCCAAACACATGAAATGACTACCTAATATTTGTAAGAAAGACCGCCCTCTCATATGTGTGCATGTTCACTAACCGAAATGTGTGTACGATTGCTCAGCTTATTCTACCATATAACCTAGAACTAACAATAATATCAAAACAGTGACCTCTTTTTCAATATCTGGAATCCAAGTAACTCACTATGAACCTATCACTAATCAATGCCACGGGAACTGGAAATTAAAGTAAAGAGCTATCCACGTACCTGCCTAACTGCAACAGGAACTTTATTATGGCGACTGGTTGCAAGGCTTGGTCTCATATCAGCTGGAAGTTGAGCCTGATAGAAACAAACGAGTGACAATCTCAAAACACCGGATTTTTAAAAGCAACAAAGTAAGTGACAAGAATTACACACCAACAATGGATAATTCCCTTTGAGCTCGGGAGAGCCTTCTCTGTCTTGGGATGAGTTGTTGCCAGCTAAAGCTTTCTTTCTTGCAAGAACCTGCAATGCCCATTTCCTTTTGTCTTTCTTGAGATCGTCAGGAATGTCAAACATTTCCTTAGAGTTACTCGATATAAGATTAGGCTGCCCATCCGACTGTTTGTTTCCTGAGTTCAGTTTTGATCCAGCAGCTTTTAACCTGCTCCCCTTGGCATCACTAATCTTTGGTAAAGTTTTGTTGGCTTCTGTGGGTTTTGCATTGTTTTGTGAGTTTCCCGTTTCTTTTGGTGCCAACAGAGGCTTGAGATTATCATTTCTCGGGAACACGGAGGTATCTGCCAAATACAATCTGGAGAGGATAGGATTTGAGGCCTGTGGGGTTTCAGATGAAAAGTTTGTTTTGGCGTCACCTGGTTTCTTCTTCAAGAGGCTAAGAACAGACTTCAGAGTTTCAATTTTTTCAGGCTTTCTACTTTGTATGCACCGATGCTTCCAAAACTCAACTTCACAGTCCCGGTGCCATGCACTTTTCCGCTTCCCATTTAAATCTGCATAAATTTTCTTCGTCAGATTCTCTCTGACTTTTCCTTTCTGCAGCATCAACTTCTTTGCCTTCACTGCCAGAGCCGAAATTTTTCTAGGTGCTTCATCAGTTTTAGGTCCTGCCACAGCAGCTCTAAAGGCGGCCAAAAGTTTTGGATCGAATTGGTTTTCTGTGATGTCCTCCATCGGTTTGTTACGAACGGCTTCTCTTATTTCTTTCCTTAGTTTCTCAACCAGAACCATTGACTCTTGCTCGTCCTCCGGTGTCCTCTTGATCTTCTTTACCCTCAAACCAGCAGCATTCTCTCCTTCTGAAGACTTATCAGTAGGATTTGAACGCATGAGATTTTTTCTACGCCCAGTTCCTTTGACAATGCTGAATATATCAACAGTTGTATTGTTTGAAGGGGATCTGTTTGAAGGGGATCTGCTCTCGTGGTGAAAGGTAGCTAATTCTTCCTCTTCCTCCAGTTTTGGTTTATTGAGAGCTTTGTAAATCTCAGGTTTAATTTCTGAATTGCCATCATCCCCACTGGTAAAGAAAAGCCACGATGAAACAACAACACGCTCAAAAATTCGACACAAAGCATAGTAAAGAGAGAAAGATGGTACCAAGAAAAGAACATATTTCATCTGTGAAACTGACCTGCAATCTGAATGCTTTCTCTTTAAGCTGACAACACTAGGAACATCTGAATTGGAAATGGCTGTAGTGGAAAGATCTGGTAAACGCATTACAGTATATAAGACCCAACTATGCAAATGCAAATATTGATCAAATAACATTTAGCCAAAAAGAGGAAGAAATGAAGGAAGCAGAAGATAAACAGGCGAACAAAGGGTAGTATGTTACTTACCATTTTTATCATCTACTGACAGACAGTCCTTCTCTATAACAGGGTCTACAGTTGCATAAAAAGGTTAAATTATTATTTAGCAGAACTAAAGGACAAAGCATATTGAGAATCCATACGTTTTAGGAAATTACAACTAAGAGTCGGGTCAATCAATATACCTGCTCTTTTCTCCATGTCTGCAGCAAAAAATGGTTGATATGAATCAGAAGATAGTCTTGATGATATATCATGTGGTAAGGACTGCTTGAGCTCTGATTTTACTGGGACCTGTTCTGTATTTTCCTCCCTACACAGACTTTTCAGATGCGAACTATCTGGGTCTCCATCCATTTTAGCTTCAACTGGTAATGGGTTGGTATCACTTGGTTCCATATGAGACTCGTCTCCTTTGACTATTGATACAACAAGAGCTGTCTCGCCTTCATCAGCAACTGTAACTGAAAAGTTTCCAGAGTAAACAGCCTCTGATGAGCATCCGCTATTTGTCTTCTCAGAAATATCCAGGGACTTTCTTGTCTCCACTGGTGAGGTATCAGGTTGTGTTTCCATTGGTGATGTATCAGGTTCATGTGATTTTTCACTAGAGAGACATCTGTGGACACAAAGCAAATGAGAGTAAACTATGACAAGATGGCTAAAAAGATAGAGAAAGGAAGATTAATATGTATAAGCATTAGATTTCACTCAGATTTGGTACAAAGTGTCTATACTAGATAAACATAGGACTGGCACACGGAAAAGATTAAAATAATTTAGTGGAAACTCTACTATAAAATATATGTTTACCTGATAGGCTAATAATTAAAGAAACAATATAATGAAACAACGGTGCTGAAGTTATCAAACCATGGATTAAGCAATCATATGTAGTCAATACGCCAATGAAACCTACCTCGGACATACCCATGTATCCTCTGATGCATTTTCTACGTCAAAACCCACGCAAATAGCATGATACCTGTTAGCATAGATGAAAGCAACAAGCAGAAGCTAATTTGTAAGAATGCTGTAATAATGAACAATCTAAAACAATACGAAGTATACAAAGTCAAGTGCATATAAAAGATTGAAAGGCTAGTATCTTTGTCGTTTACATGTCATATTACAAAATTCCTTCATCTGATAGTGATAGCATTTAGAAACTGGTAGCACAACTAGATTTAAACACAAAATTCTTCATCTAAAAGCATGGTAGACACAAATATTATGGCACTGCAACAACTAAGCAAGCACCAAAAGTTCACCAGTAAATGAATTAGAGTGATAGAAAAACATAAAAAAAAGGTAAACCAACAATCAGGACAATGTGCACACAAAAAACAACCCATGGATAAATTCAACAGGTAATAGTAGTTACCACGCATCACACGAATCACAAGCAATTGATGTATCAAGGTTGGAATCCCCTCCAATGTAACTGAAAGTGTTACGGATCTTGCAAAGATCGCCATCTAAACAGATAACTGCCTACAATATGATTAGGAAAGCTTAATGTACTTTGAAGTGACTAGGAAAACCCATATATGATATACTTACATTTTCATCAATATAGTGTGTTTCGTCAATATAGTGTGACGGAGAAGAGACGGCATCAGTCTCCTCTTCAATGCAGCAATCTTCATCTCTGCATGTATTTGATAGCTTATTTTAACGTCAGCAGATCACAACAGTTTTTTAGCACATACTAAACCTCTGGTACACATGACTTTTATCACCTTTTCAATCACTTGATCATACTATGCCATTTAGTATAAACTAATCATTATAGGCCACAGATAATTGAGGACAAAAAGACCACTCAGATAGTTGAGGCAAGCAAAGTTTATCACAAAAACAGACACAAGGAAAAACATAGTACCCTGATAACGAAACCTCATCAACCTTGCTGCTTTCACCTGAATCATACACCTTCACGATCAAACCAAAAACTCATTATACATAAACCAAGAGCTCCACTTACAAAAATGATGATAAATGTTAAGAAATCTTACTGGGACACATGTAATCAACTGAAACTCTCTCTGACAGAGAGGGCAGAGGTTCATAATCGTAGACCAATTATCAATGCATTCAAAGCAGAACCTGAAATTTAACAGACATAGACACAAATTACCAATCTACTCCTTGATAAACAGTCCACCAAAGACACAGGTTAAACATTGCAATAGTTAATCTTCGCAGAACCGAGGTAACTCTTAAGGACTATGCAACTTTTGTAGACTAAGAAAAGACAATGCTAAGAGAAAACAAGCTTTTACCAGTGCTGACAGCAATCGAGAACGCCTCTATCAATAATTATATCCATGCAAATCCCACATCTTTCCCCTTCAATTCCAGCCATGTCCTGTTCAAAGAAATCAAAATCACAATGAGAAGTAATAATAATTATTATTATTAAAAACACAAAGGTTCCCAGAAACGTGACACAAACTAAATGAAATGCTTGATATAGCATTTATATACAACCATTTTCACCGCAAATTACAAGTTTTAAGCTCCAGGTTCGAAAATTAAAAGGTAAACCCATGATTAGTTCAACCAAGAGAAAAATAGCTGAGAAAGTTCAAGTTTACACTAACATTATGTTCAACTTCAGCAGCTTCATCTTCAACCAAGTTACTAGCGTCAAAATCGAGCTCCATTTTCTGAAAAAAAAAAAAAAAAAAAGACAAAGTGATCAAAGACGAAATCGATTTCCTCTGACGAGAACGAGAGCGAGAAAGAACCGAGAGGAAAATTTAGGTGAAATTTTTGTAAACCCAAAACCTACCTACCTCGGATCAAAACCTACGAAGAAGAAGCTGAGAGAGGAAAAAATCTCAGAACCCTTGATGATGAAATTGAAAAAAAAAAGGCGAAGCAGCGTCCGAGGGCAAAATTGGAAAAAAGTGTAGAAAATTTACGAGAGGGTGGAGATGACGTCACCTCCTTAGGCCAAGATTTTTGTTTTAGAAACTTTGATGAGCAAAGAATTGAAATTATGTCTTCGTCGCTCTGAAGATTAAATTTTCCATTTATAAACCAAAAAGATGGACCACATGTGCTTTTATGGGTCGAATCTTTTAACTTTCTGTTTCATGTGGGCCATTTACGTAAATTCACCAATACATTGAGCCCAACTTTGTAAAACTTATCCTTTTTCTTCTCCAACCCCGTACTTTCTTTCTTTAGTTAAAAAGACCCCATAGGTTTCTTTTACGTACTATGGGGCCAAAAAATCAATATTGCAAAGCTCATTAACACTTTACACTATGTTTTTTATGTACATTTCTTTCTCAGCTGATTCAAGAATGAAGCATAGTTTCTAGGTTAGTAGGGTAACACATGTCCACGTGACGACCATTCCATACATTGTCGGCGAGGATAGCGTTAACGGCGTCAGTAGGATGAAACTGGTCCCACCATAGATGACCGGAGGCGTCGGAGCAAGCCATCTCCGGCGAGATGCATGGAAGCCATCCTTTGTACCTTCCTAGCCCACAACACGCATCTGTCGTCTCATTAAAACCTGTCCACACCACAAAAAAACACAAACAACTAAGATTCAACAAGACTCTTTCACACTTGAAGATGATCAGAAAACTCTATATATCACTCTTAGAAGTCTCTGTTAGAGTTACAAGATACTGCTATGGGATTATAATGCTATGTTGTTATCAGTCACAGTTATTTTGTGAATTGAGAATTGACATGGAAGTGGTGCTTACCGTAGAGTTGGTGGTTCCTGAGGATGTCCATAGCGCTTTGGAACACGTCGCAGTAGATAATGGATGCGCCTGGAAGTTCACGGTTGAGTTTATCTACAGTGTATCTCATGACAAAGTTGGATTCCATGATCATGCTGTTCACTTCTTCTGCACATTCACCGTTCTGGCTTCTGTACTTCCACATGTAGTATGGTGCACAGCCAATAGGTGGCAGTCCCATCACCACCATTCTCCTCACTTTAACATTGTACAGAGTCTGTGAAACCAACACAATACTTCTCTTATTACTGACACAATGGAACTCAACGAAGAGGCAAATATCTATATCTCAATCATTTTTAGGCTATCGATATGCAGCTTTATGAGCTTTATGGTCTCTACAACTATATAAACCAGAGATCCAAAACAGAACAAGGGTTGTGATTTGATCTTTATAAAGGAAACGTTTTGTGTTCTAATCAGTTTAAAAGGTTTCACTTATACTAACTATACTAACTCAGAAATCATACTTGTTAGTCCCTATAAACTCTCCACCAAAATCAAACGTATAAAGATTGATTAGAAGTCTAACCTTGAGCTCCTGTCTCATATTTGAAGCCAAGAACTGATTAAAATTCCATGGAGTATAAAGATTCTGCACATTGGAGATGTTTCTGATGTAGAAATGTATGTAATCATTCACTCCAATCGATATGTAGAAAACCGAGTTTGAGACTAAACGTTCCGAAGCCTCCTCCCCAATGCTCAGTATCATCTGCTGGAATGTATCAACAAACTGCTCAACCTGCATAGCGAATGAAACCCGCTGGCCCTGCAACAACGAAATTCCCCACAGGATTGAAAAAACTGAAAGATGGTATCCAGAAAATGAACTCAAAAGACTCTGAAAACTGAGTAGTACCAGTTCAGATCCACTAGACAAAATGATTCCAGCACCAGCTGATGCATAGTTTACTCCTTGAAACATGTCTTCAACAGTCCCAGTTTGTCCAAGATAGCTAGGAACGAATGGTAAACCTAGACGATCAGCTGTTCACAAGATTTTCAATGGACAAACAAAAACCAATGCTTCAATCTCTATTTCTTTCTTTAACATTCAAGAACAACATCGAATTTGAGAAAAAAGGCCAAAATTCTCGATTTCTCTCAATTTTCTCGGCAGTTTCTAGGCACTATAAAGAATCGAAAACAAGAAATCAAGTAAGAGCAAATAATTCTTGAAATCGAAAAATTAGAATCAAAACCCAGAAATTTGGGGAAGAATTTTAACCTAGATAATCAACTGGGATTCTTCCATTGCAAAACCTTCCCGTTGGTTGATGCGTATCAAAATCTCTACCGTACGGAAGCCGATCTGCTCTCGCTAAGGTTCCAAGAAAGTTATTAGTTCCACTATCAACTGAAGAATCTCCGAACACGAACAACGCCGGTACAAAAGGCAAAGACGGCTTCACCACCGGAGATTGGGCTCTGAGTGACGGCGATGGAGGTAAAAACGGCGGAATTGAAGGAGAAAACGGAGAGATTCTTGTAGTTAAGTGATGATCGGCGATCAATTTGGGTCTCGTGAAGATTATCAGAAGAGAGAAAACAAGAACGAGAAGCTTGATCGACATTGAGAGAGAGCGCGGGAAAATGTGAAGATGCTTTGCGAGGTTTTACAGAGAAATAAAGAAAAACGTCGTCGTCTTATAGATGAAGAGACTATTTATAAGAGACTAGAACACATTGAACCGGTTAAATTAGGTAGAAAGTAGACGCCTATTTCCGATTTACATATACCGGTTAACACTGATCTTAAATCAGCTAACATAAGATCAAAACGACTTCGTTTAATAGATATCTACAGAGACTTTTTTTATTTATAACTGCGATACATTGAACCGGCTAAACCGGAAAGTAGAAGCCTAATACCGGTTAACTCAATTTTAAAACCTGATACAAATTATTTGTACTGGTAGACTTTGGTCTCAAACTTCTGATCTTCTCTCCACCACTGATGAATCCCATGAGCTTGTTTAAAATCTCTTGACGAACTTAAGTTCACCGTTAAAACCGAAGATGGAATCAGATGTACCGGCTCTTTTCCTCCTAACAGCATACCGCCCAACGAGTGCTGTGTTGCTACCCGCTCTACAAACCCGATCCCGATTTCTTCCATCTTGTTTCGGTGCTCGAAGTAACCGATATATTCTGAGCACAAGTGGTCTCCAGGGTTGATGTACAGCCGCGGAAACCAGTCGGATAAGGCTGCAAATGGATCAGGTGGTGCGGGTGATGCACGGTCGTTCTGGTTGTAGTGTTGGGTGGCTTTTTTGGCTAGAGCAAGTCCAGCTGTGATCACGCTGCCTGCATTTTATATAGCATCTCAGATCAGTCGAGTTTCTACACGATTATAACGAAATGCCAAATTTTAGAACACATTTTGGTTTGGTTCTGTGTATGTGTATATGCACTTGAAAGCCTAATCTGATCAGTATCTTAAAGAGTGACACTGAAGGGAAGATTTAAGTTATATACCTGCGATGCGAATCCCATGTTTGATCCTCTTATCCTTGATTTTTTCGATAGGGGCAGACAAAAACGGCGGATTGAAGGCGAAACACTCAGGAAACACTCCGGTTCTAGCGATAGTTTTCCCGGTAAGTAATGCCATGGATGCACCAAGAGAATGACCAGCAAGCCACACATTCGAACCACCAACGGAAGCAACAATGTTTCTCACAGCTTGAATAGCTATCTCAAACCGTGTTGTCGTGTGAAGCCCATTTCTAATAACATGGATGTCATGCTCAATGTCACGAGAAATAGAGTCCACTTTTGTAACCGTTCCTCTGAAAGCAACCACAAAACGCGGACTCAGTTCCATGGATTTGACAGTTTGAGAGAGCGGTTTGTACTCATAGATTCCTCCGAAGATAGAGTTATCCGCATCATCGACAAGCTTACGAATGAGGCGAAAATGGAAAAACTCAGACCATATTGGAGATAAAGCTAACTCAGGACCGTCCCTTTGTAGCTGACGATCACGCTCAGCTACATAGATTCCTTGAACCAATGAGCCAGCTACGGATCGCCGATGATGTTCATTAGCCCTGCAAATTCAACAAAACAAATAAATGAAACATTTTTAACATAAAGGAACAATATTTCGTGTTTTTGAACACAAGGGTTAGCTCTAAACCAATGGTGCCAAAACATAAGCTAACTCAACAACTTCATGAACATAAAGATTCAGTTTTCGACAAAACAAAATCTCGAAGAAGAGTAGAAGTAGATGCAAACCAATCTATAGATGTTAAGTGTAATGGCCCAGTGAGACTGAAATCATCTCTTTCACAAATCATGATTCCTTTCCCCTTCTTCTGTACCACTAAACATATTAAAAATGGTAATCAGATATTAATTCAAGATTAGAGACAATAAATCACATGTAAAATTGTCACAACTAACTAAATTCCCAATCTCGTTAGAACCCTAACCATAAAAATTTGAATAATCTCCTTCAAAGAAATGATTTTGGAAACAACCCAAAACACAAACTCAATCTAAGTTTGTGATAATGTCAAAATTAATAATCAAATCCAAATCAATCACATAGAAGAAAGATTCAGATTGTGCATAAACTATTAGTGTAAAACAGAATGAAACTATTAACGAACCTTAAGAGGTTGATTCAGATCTGAAGTTTGGTTACTGTCCAGTGGTTATGTTTATAAAGAGTGTGTCTGTGTGTGGGGCTCTTGAACTCAAAGCTTCTGAAAGATACATTTCAACTATCACCGAACCGAAAACGACACCGTATCAGCCATTAAGGTTCTTCTTGCCATATAAAGCTAAACATTTGCTTTTTATCTTTGATAACAAATCTTTTTTCTTTAAATGAAGAACAAATGAATATTCAATAACATATCTTTTTCTAATTATTATTTTTCTGTTTTAATGTTTTTGATCATAACATAGGATTTTTTTTTATACATAATGTCCCTATATTTCTCTAAAATCTGACTCTTCTTTTTCTTGTGGATATTAATTATAATAATTTAGTGTGGAGAAATATGTTTTAGCAAAAGAAGAAAACAATTATGAAAGTTAATGAGAGGAGTCTTCAGAAGAAGAATCATATCCATAAGGATTATTACTGGCCCAGTTCCACAAATCTCTACACATCTCCTCAATTCCATATTTGGCCCTGCATTTGTTACAAACCCAAATTTAGACTATCTCATTTACATATTCACAACTTTTTAAAGTCTAAAATCCAATTTCTGAAAGTAATCTTCTTCTTTTGCCAAAGTTATAGCTTAATTTATGTATGACTAAAGAAATGAGCTTACTTCCAATTCAATTCACTTTCTGCTCTTTCCGTTGAGGCGTAAACAACTTCAGCATCTCCCGGGCGACGTCCGGCGATCACCAGAGGGATTTTCTGGTCCATAAAAGTGTTCAAAGGTTCAACAAAACATGACCAAGAATCTAAGATTACAATAAGCTTTAAGATTCGAAAGAAAGGGTTATGTTCTTTTACCTTCCCGGACGCTTTTTCAAAGGCATCAACCATTTCAAGAACCGATGTTCCATTTCCTGTTCCGAGATTGTACACTTCACAACCTGAATACAACAACACACAAACCAAGTTTAGAGATTTAAGGATGATTCTATAGTAGAAGAGAAACAAAAGAGTATAAGCGGAATCATATATACCGATTTTGCAATCTTCTAGCTTACGCAAAGCCGCTATGTGTCCATCAGCTAAATCAATAACATGAATATAATCTCGAACCTAAAACAAACAAGAAATGAGATCAAAATGTTGAAAACTTCTTCTTGTTTATGAAAACATAAAAGACAAACATACATACCCCTGTTCCATCTTTTGTATTGTAATCATTTCCATAGACGGTGAGATGAGGTCTCCTACCAACAGCGACTTGTTGGACAAAAGGCATAAGATTGTTTGGAACACCGCGAGGATCTTCACCAATTTCCCCACTAGGATGTGCACCAACAGGATTAAAATACCTAAGCAATATGATCTTCCATTCCGGGTCAGAACCGTATACATCACGGCAGATTTCCTCAATGAATAGCTACAAAAACATCCATATAAATCACATTCACACTACATCAACCACAAAACTCAAGTAAGCTTTGTCAAAAAAACCAACCTTTGTTCGTCCATATGGATTCAATGCCGAAATCGGAAACTCCTCTGTACAAGGAACTTCCTTTGGAGAGCCATACACAGTTGCTGATGATGAAAACACAAGCTGGAAACAGAGTAGCTAATCATGAGATCGATCGAACAAAGAATAATAATGAATTCGAATTTGATGTGGTGGCAAATTGAATACATTTTTGCAGCCATGTTGAGCCATAACTTCCAAAAGAGTAATAGTCCCAACAAGATTATTATTATAATAGAGCAAAGGCTTCTCTACACTCTCACCAACTGCTTTAAGTCCAGCAAAATGTATCACTGCATCAAACCTGTAAAATAATAATAATTCCACGTTCATCAATCAATAAACCCAATTATAAGTATCATCACATCATTGTTTAAGAGATAAAGTGAAAAAGCTAAAAGATTTTTGTTTTTTTCTCAATCATACTTAGTTTCTAAGAATATCTTCTCAAGAGCTGGCTTGTCTCGAAGATCCACCTGCAAATTAAGAAAAAACAATCAAGTTTTAACTTTTTACAGTAAAAAACAGATTCTTTTGACAGTAACTAAACACAAAACAATCTAAATTCAGAACAAGATTAAACTTACTATGAAATATAAAAATAGAAACTGGGAAAGTATTAATTAATTTACTTTTTCATATGGTCTTCATCAGGCCTAAACTAATATTTAATACATATATTATTATTTTGGGATATAAAACTAGAGAGATAAAAAAAAAATTAATCTTGTTTGGAGGATATGAAGCAATAAGTGATACTTGAATAGTTAAAAACGGTACAAAATAGCGATAAAAAGTAGTATGAGAAAATTGAAAATAACGTTTTTGGTATCGCTTTTATGATTGTCAAAAACGGTATACCCCGTATCAGTGCATTAGTTACCAATCAAAGCAATAATAATACCAAACAAAAAAAAAACCAAAATTTTGGAATCAAACAATCATTTTGTAAAATTGATATTTTATTCCCAAATTTAATCCCAAAAAAAAAAAAATTCACAAGAAGAGCCCTCGCAGTCAAATCAATGATTAACAAGTCAAATCATAATCCTAATTTCGTTGAAATCATCAGCAACACAAAACACAAATCCTTAAATCACACGTTTCTTAGACCTAGAAACCAAAATTTGACCGAACCTGGTGGAAGGAGAGGCGTTCGCCGTGTTCGGCGGCGAGTTTCTTCACACGTTCAAGAGAGACGGCGGAGGAATTATCAAGATTATCAACAACTACGACGGAGTAACCACCGAGAAGAAGTTGAAGCACCGTGTGACTACCGATGTATCCAGCACCACCGGTTACTAGAACGTTTTTAGACATCATAGTCACGAACAGAGCAAATAATTCAAGAAAAAAAAAATTGTTTGTAAATGAAAATATCAAAGAGAAATGTTTTGTGATCTCTCCAGCGAAAAAGTGTTTGGAGGTTTTTGATTTATAGAATCGGTGATGGTTACGTGAATAATATTGTTAAATTAATATTTTAGGCTTAATTTAAAAACGCATATATATTATTACGTTTCTAATTAAGGGAATAGAATAATGAAAATGCCACGTGGCGGAATACGGTGTGGTTGTGACGAATATACGAGAGTTTCAGTTATCGAAAACTACAATTTTCTTAATGAAGCTTGAGGAAATGGTAATTACTGTTTTGTTTAGTAGTAATCAGCTGGTTAATAATATTAACAGAATCGAAATGAAGCAAAACTGTGGAATTGTTTTATTAACAGCTTAAAAATAGTTACAAATTACACGAACTCGTTACTAGTTAAATAAATAAATAATATATTTTAATTATTTCACTAATCAATTGTTTTAGAAAAAAACTATTATAGTTGATTAATTGATTTTGCCGAATTAGATCTGATTCTATTACGAAATGTTAGTTTATCTTTTAGTTAATTTAAAACTACAGCTATGTATATTGATGTCAAAAATAAATTTGTACAACTATATTGTTCTTTTTTTTCAACTATATTGTTCTCCATTAAAATTAGTGTTTTAGTATTATTGATATACTTATAGTGTTTTGTTTTTGTTTTTGTTTTTGTATTGCACAAGACATTCATTATCCCTCAAAATAGTCACGAGATTTGAGAATATCTTTGCATACTACTTTTCAAGGATGTTATTGTTTTATTATCACACTAGATCTTGACCCGCACATACGTGCGGGGTTTCATATTTTTAAAATTATTTTAACAAATTTTAATTCAATATAAATTATTTCGCTGTTTCTATGATATATATTTTAGTGTATTATATCTGGATTCACACCTCCGTGCAGAGATATTTTTATAGAAATTGTTATATAGATTTTAAAAATATAAAATATTTTGTTGTGTTAGTAAACTTTATAATAGTATAAATATTATAAAATTAGAGTAATGAACGAAATTCAGTTGCGTTAGTGCATAGTTATATTTTAAGATCCTGACCTACACATATGTGCAAAATTATATTTAAGATAAAACTAAGATATAATTTAGTTGCAAAAGTTAAATGATGTTACTTTATTCATTTTCTAAACTAATCAAAGATTTCTAATAGTTTGATTACATGTGTTAAATAGGATATAGATTCGGTTTGAGTTTGGTTATTTCATGTATATTAGCTAGGCGTAACTATTTTGGAACGGGAAACCTATCTCGTCTTTTATATGTCATAAATTCTTAGTCCCATAACCCGTATCGTATACGTGAAATAAAAATATGACGGTCCAGTATCCGGCATAAATAGAATATGTGTAACTGAAAACGTACGTACAGTATGTAAACAAATTTATTTTATATAGTGCTCATAACCCGAACTCATACCAGTTAGGTATTTAGTTTGATTTTTAATTTATGTTCCCCTCCTATCCCGTCTCGTAATTCCTATTCTCATTTCATTCCATTAAAATCATGTTCCAAATTCTTGTTTGCTTACTTTTAAATATCATACAATACATACTGTGAGTTTTGCAGATTAATATATATGCTGCTAAATTACAAATATATTTTAACAAATTTATTAATGTTTCTTTCCTTAGCTAAATTTTGCATATTCTTCTTTTTATTGTTTAATCATAATTAATTTGATTTTTGGACTAAAAATAAAAATTTGAAATACATCTCTAAAAGGGATATGCTATTGCTGCATAATTTGTTTTGAATTCAAAATATATAATTAGTTTACATTATTTGAAAACTGGGTGCAATATATTAGGGATTTATTTAAGGAAGATCCGATTGAAAAACATAAAATAAAACGCAAAATAATTTAGAAATTAATATATACAATCTATTGTTTAGATATTTATCAAACTTGCTCTAAACGAAGGCTATAATGATAATTACTTTAAATTTATTATTATTTGAGTTTATTTCATAGTAAATATAAATAGTTGTTAATATCTAATATCATATTTTAGAAATTGTGAAATAAAATTTGGTTTATATTTTAAAATTTGTGAAAATATTATAACAAAACTGAATCTTAAAATATTTGTATTTAATTTTTTTATGAAATTTTAAATTCAATCTTAAAGTCCTCCATTGATAAATCTTTTATACGATAGTGTTTTTAATTTTGAATTAAAATGATATTATTTTTCTTTTTATTTTTGATATAGAATAGTCTATTACGATTGGTTTAGATAAAATCTTAGTTGGATATCAAATCTTAGTTCAATTCTCATTGGTTAACAATTTTTTAAAAATTAATTTCATATTTTCGTTTATAATTAATAGGAGAGAGAAAGTTAGTTTAATTTTTTGGAAATTAATAATTATTTAAAAGAATTAAACTATTTTTAATTTAAATATATTAATTTTGTGATTACTATTGTACCCTTAATGAAGTTATTTAAAAACACTAAAAACTAATGGCAATCTTTGTAATATCTTACACTTTATAAGGTTATTTAAGTTAGAATGATTCCCAATTAATAGTATAGATTCTTATATTTTCATATTATATCTTATAGATCTTTATTTTATTTTATTTTTTTGTCGGCAATTTATATTCCATTAGAAAGGAAAGAAATATTACAAGAGAAAGTTTACATTACAAATTTTACATGAGAAGCTAAGTCTAGGATATCCAAGAAACAACATAAGGAGAGTTATGAATTCTAGCGTTTCTGGCTAATTCATCTGCTAACTGATTTGCCTGCCTATTGATGTACTTAAACCGATAAGAGTCATGCGCAATTAGTACAATGTCTTGCAGAAATCCTTGAATCTCTTGAGGACCCATTCCTTGAAGTCCAGAGTGAGTATTCTTCTCCAAATACCCAAACAGAGTAAATGAATCTCCACAGAATGTGACATTATGATAATTGAGGCGGCGCATTTGGAGTAGAGCTTCTTTTAGAGCTATTGCTTCTGCTTCTAATACCGTGTCAGTGGGGCCAAGTGATGTACTTCCTCGAATGATAAGCCGACCTTGTGAGTCATGCAAGGTCCAACCAATGCCGATTTTGCTATCTGGACTAATCCAAGATGCATCTGTACAACAACAAAATAAGGGAATTTGGGTGAGAACCTGTTGAATTGTTGATGGAGCTGACTTAGGAGGTCTTGGATCTTGCAGCTTAGTGAGAGGGAATGTATTATTAGCTTCTTTCCATAAGCGGATATCAGAGAGGGCTTGATGAATAATATCCGGGATAGGCCAACGTCTGTTGTTAAAAAGAAGATCATTCCTGGCCTTCCATATTCTCCATCCAATGTATGGAAAAAGATGATCCATAGACTTCTTATGACCTGAGGCTTGAATTAAGGCCTGAATTTTATCTAACAGTGAATGGTGATCTTGAAACTGACCTTGATCAATAGCCACAGGTGACAGCTCCCAAATCTCTTTGGCCACTCTACACTGGAAGAGTAAATGATGGGTTGACTCTGTTGCTTCTCCACAAAAAAGGCATTCAGGAGCAACTCTCAAACGTCTGCGTATTAGAGTATCTGCAACTGGGAGAGCATTATGTAAAACCCTCCACCAGAAATGCTTTATTTTTGGTGGGATATTTAGAGTCCAAAGGGATGAACAGAGTTTATTGAGCCTTAAAATATCATCAGACATGGTATTTGTAGATTTAGTAAGTTGGTGGTAACCTGATTTGACAGTGTATTGACCATGTCTTGTGTGAATCCATATAGGAGAATCAGGTGAGGTCATGACCCTGGGATGGATTCTTTTAATCAGCAGAGCATCTTCTGGGTGAATAATATTTTGGATCTTCCTCTCATCCCAGGCATGAGAGCCATGGATCATAAGGTCAGAAACTTTAAGCTCAGTAGGTGAAGAAGCGTCTATACTTCGAGCAGGACGTGGAGGATGGCCTATCCATGGATCAGTCCAAATTTTAGCTGTTTGGCCATCACCTATTTGCCACTTTAAACCTTGTGATAGAAGTTGTGTACCTTTATGGATGCTTCTCCATGCATGGCTCGGTCTATGGCCCAATGTTGCTTCCATTAAAGTGGTCGTAGCAAAGTATTTGGCTTTAAGGACTCGGCTTAGTAAAGAATGTGGCTCCTTCAATATTCTCCAACTCTGCTTTGCTAAGAGAGCAATGTTAAATTTGAATAGATCTCTGAACCCCAGACCCCCATGCTGCTTTAGCTTGGTCATATTGCTCCATGCCACCCAGGGTAACTTATGCTTTTCTTTTGAACTTGACCACCAGAAACGACGAATCTGGCCTGAGATTTGATTAAGAAGCTTTTTAGGCAAGGTGAAGCATGACATACAATAGGTAGGTAAGGCAGTTGCAACAGATTTAATAAGAACTTCTTTGCCTGCAACTGACAAAAATTTTGAGTACCAACTTTCTAATTTGTTCTGTACTCGGCGTGAAATATAGGAGAAGATAGCACACTTATTTCTCCCTATAGCTTCAGGTAAGCCCAGATATCTACCAAAGCCTCCAATTTTGGATATGCCTGTTAAATTGATAATGTTTTGCTTAACCTCAGGAGGGACTGTCTTACCAAAGAGAATTGCAGACTTTTGGAAATTGACATGTTGACCTGAGGCAGATGCATAGTCTTGTAGAATATGGAGGAGTTTCTGGCATTGAGATTCAGAAGCTTGACAGAGTAGTAGAGAATCATCTGCAAACAGCATATGAGAGATTGGTGGTCCTCCTCTGCTTGCTTTAAAACCTTGAATAGATTTCGTTAACATTGCATGATGGAGGAGAGAAGATAATCCTTCAGTACATAATAAATAAAGATAAGGTGATAAAGGGTCACCTTGTCGAATTCCACGCTGAGGATATATTTTGGAAGTTGGGGATCCATTAACTAGCACCGAATAGGACACCGTGGAGATACAGGTCATTACCCAGTGACACCACTTTTCTGCAAAACCAAATCGTTTTAATAGAGTTTCCAGAAAATGCCACTCAACTTTGTCAAAAGCTTTAGCTATATCTAGCTTCAGAGCCATATATGGGGTTTTCATTTTCTTGGTGCTCAGTGAATGTAGCAGTTCATGAGTAATTATAACATTATCAGTAATTAAACGGCCAGGGATAAAGGCTGACTGGAACTCAGAAATAAGAAGATGCAACCAAGATTTAAGCCTGTCAGCCAAGATCTTAGAAATGATCTTATAAGCAATATTGCATAGACTGATAGGCCTAAAATCCTTAACCTGGGTAGGAGAGTCAATTTTTGGCACAAGACATATGTATGTATGATTGAGATTGGGGTCAAGAGTTCCAGAGTGAAAGAAAGAGTGTATAAATTTGATCACACCTGCTTTGATGTCTTGCCAGTGGAACTTGTAGAATCCTGCATTGAAACCATCTGGCCCTGGCGCTTTATCTACATTCATGCTGGATATGGCTTGAAAGATTTCCTCTTCTGTGACAGGAGCTAGTAGTTTACTGTTAATTTCCGGAGTCACTTTGGGCTGGATATGCTGCAGAACAGAGTCCACTTGATGCGTGCCAGCAGAAGTATAAAGCTGCTCAAAGTAAGCATGAATAATGTCCTGAATCTCCTCCTCAGAAGTTTTGATATTTCCATCTTCATCTTGAAGAGATGTAATTCTATTGTATGATCTTCGTTGCTTAGTTTTCTCATGGAAATATCGAGTATTCTTGTCACCAGAGTGTAGCCATTGAATGCGGCTTTTAGTGCGCCAGTATTCTTCTTCCATACGATATTCATATTGCAGCTGCATTTCTATCTCTGTGATATAGTTATAGTCCACATAAGAAGATTCATAAGCTTTCTGCAAGGCCAATTGGAGTTGCTGAATCTTCTTTCTGGAATTTTGATTATGCTCAGACTTCCACTGGGACAGCCCATTTCTACATCTTTTGAGTGATTCCGCAAAATTCTGAGGAGAGATATGGGCACACTGCTGCCTCCAAATGCTTTGAATGAGTTTGTGGACCTCTATGTTGTTTCTCCAGCGGTTGTCATATCTAAACAATTTTTTCCCCCTCCATTTATTATCCTCTGTTTGAAGCAATAGTGGCTTATGATCAGATCCGCACCAATCCAGCAGCTGAACTTTTGCTTTAGGGTATTGTTCTTGCCAATCTGCAGAAGCAAGAACTCTGTCAAGCTTGGACTTAATGGTACCACAAGACCTGTTACCAATCCAAGTATAAGGACCCCCAAAAGTTCTAAACTCCTGAAGACCAGAGATATTGATCATCCTCTGAAAGTTTGCAAGTTGCCAATCTGGTCTGTTAGCTCCACCTATCTTCTCTTCGTTACTCTTGATTTCATTGAAGTCACCTAACACTAATCTGGGCTTACGCTGATAAAGGCCCGCTTGAGCAAGTGCCATCATTCTATTCCAAAGTTGTTGTCTTGGTTTCCTCTCCGGGTTACCATACACATACGATAGACAAAAAGTGATAGATCCTTCAGATATATACATATCAGTATAGTGGAGTGTTGGAGAATCAAGAAACTCACACTGTACTGAGTCCTTCCAAAAGATCGCAAGGCCACCGCTTAGACCATCAGGAGAGACCAGAAAATGATGATCAAAAAGGAGCTCTTTTCCTAATTGCTGTACATAGTTATCCTTGTTTTTAGTTTCCACGAGGAACAGGATATCAATCTTATACTTACGATTGATATCCTTAAGGTAGGGAATTGTCAGGGGGTTCCTCAAACCCTGACAATTCCAATGCAATATCCTTATTCTGGCTGTGGTGGTTTCGGGGTTGCCACCTCCCCTTGATCTTGTGAAGTAAGAAAATCTCGTGTTCTTCTTCTCGTAGTAGATGTTTCATCATCAGTATCTGGAGCTTTGCGTTTAGTCCCTCGCTCTAGCACCTGAGCTGAAGCAGCGTCCACTTCTCTAACAGCAAAAGTAAGATTTATTCTATCTGTAAGAGAATCTGGATGCATAAAATTCATGGATTCTCCAGGTACTCCATCATGCACCTGTTGATCAGAAATATCCATATTGAGATTTGAGCCCACTGTTTCCCCCATAGTATCATCTGCCACCTCTGTGGGAGTGCGCGAGCTATCTACCAGCTGATTTTCATTTGCTAGAGTGCCTTCAGGAGCTGGATTTTGAGCAGGAGCTAGAACTTGTAGCTGTTCTGGTTCAGGGATTTGGACATTACAACCAGACGCTAGATGATTAAGACTTCCACATGCCGTACAGAATCTTCGAATTAGGACCGGCTCACCTGAGGCATCTAAGTGGAATTACCTAGCAAATGTGAGCTTCGCAGAGATGTCTATTGGAACACGTACCCAAACTTCTCCAGCTTGTTCAGACGTTGGTTGTTGTATGTGGATCTCATCAACATGACCTAAGACCCCTCCAACTTCACTTACCACTCTATCATTTCTAGAATCATCTGGTAGATTCAGAATTTTGACCCAGAAACGAATGATGCGAAGATAATCTGGATATGTCCGACGAGTCCACCGGTCGACAACCACAAGCCAGTCTTTGTAAGTCCAAGGGCCATTATCAAGGATTGTAAGCAATTGATGCTCCTGTTTGAAGAAGAACTGAACAGATCCGTCTTCGTTGATTCCGCTAGTAATACGACCCTCCAATTTCCAAATCTTTGGCATCATAACTTTTATTCCTGCCGGGTTCTGAGATGAGTGAAGACCCTTTACAATCAGACTCAGTCGATGCTCAGCGTCCCGTTGATTCGTCGCCTCAGAAGAGAGCCTCAAAGGAGTGCGCTCAGATCCAAGGTTTAGATGCTGGAGAGTAACCCACAGATCTTGGTCAGCCATAACAAAGGTGAAAGATGAAGATCCGATAGATCGGAAAGGAGATCCGCAGACGGCGGAAGGCAAATCACCGGTGAGATTGAGTCGGTGAAATCGTATCTCGGAGGTTCTAGAGAGAGATTTTGATGTTTTTTATATCTTATAGATCTTTAAACAATAGCTAATGCGAATTTATTTAATAAGTACTAAGCATGACATGAATTTTTTAAACAAACAATAAAATTTTTTGCTACCTTAGATTATGCAGATTGTTGATGATGTCTATACGAAAAAGGTCTTATGTAGCGAATCGCCTTCGACGCTGGCCGCAACTGCTCTAGAAGATTACGTACAGGCGAGTTTTGGATTTACGCAGAAAGCTACTTATTTATTTCGATGGCCTTTTTGCATTTCCATAAAGAGGAAACAAACCTTGAAAGGGCTTGTAATGTCGTGTCCACGCTTTTTGAACGATGTAGTCCAATGTCATGGTTCAAGTCGTTTTCTAAATTTACTTCATCCCGAATCACTTCCGCTTCTCAAGCTATGGCGACACTCCTTGCCAAGTGGGATCAGACATATTTGAGAGATATCTATTTTTTACCGAGGAAAATTTGGATGAATTGTCTAGTTCTTGTATCTAGGGATCTCTTTTTTCAGCTAACTTGTTCCTTTTAGATTTGTATTTGAACTATAATTATTCACTGTTGAATTCTTCAAATTTGCTTCAAAAAGAGAAAAAAAAAAAAAAAAAGGCCAAATTTGTTTATCATTAAGAATTATGTCACCTTTTTGATAATAATTAGCAAATATAGGATATATGCGGTTTTGCAGATGTCATGTTTTTTAGTATATTGATGATGGTCTAGTTGAGTAGATAGATGACTCATCATGTGGATTAAAATTCATGAATCAAGTTTTACGAGAGACCAATCCAATATATGAATGGTATAAAGATGTTTGGTTTCGTCATGCCACTCCCTAATACCTTTTCATAGTTTGGATTGTTACGTATAATCGATTTACAACGGACAATAGAATGCTAGTGGAATGTAGAAGGAGATGTGAGTTGCGGCTTTTCGATAGAAACAATAGATCACCTATTCTTCTCATATAGCTATTTTTCTCAAATCTTGTTTACTCTTACACGAGTTATGCTTCAAAATCGTTTCACAACTAGCTGAGAAACAGTTATCCCACTTTTTGTCGACTTGTTTTAGCCATTTTTTTTCATGTTCATTCTAAAGTATGTCTTACAATTCAAGATTTACAGTTTATGGATAGACACAAATAGAATAGAGTAACTCCTATCATGACTCCTCGACTCACTTGCCTTATGAAAGAGTAAGAAATAGGCTCAACACCATTCAAACGCAAGGATCATCAACATACGACGGAGGGTTTTGTTATTGGTTCAAACTAATAGCGTCCAAAAATCATTTTTGATGTAAAACTCAATTTCACCTCCACAAGTTTTAGTTACTCTTTTTATTGTACAAAATTTTTTTGTTAAATATAAATTTACATTCATATAAAAAAAATCAAATTTTACCATTTATTAAAATTGTTGTGTTTTTATTATTATATATATATTTTTGAATACCAGGAGATTCTGGACCAAAATCCGTAATCCTTTCAGGTCCGAAACCACAGCATGTAATACTAGTTTTGTCCCAAACGTCACTCGAACCGGCGACCTCTAAGCTTTGCCTAAGATATTTACCAGTTGAGCTAACAACGCTTGGTTGTGATTTTTTTTCCACTATAAACATTTTAAATAGCAAAAGTCTTCAAACTTTCTGTATTCTTATTAGTTCGGGTTTCAATATGAAATCTAACTCTAGAAAAAAATCTTTAGTGTTGAATAAAGAATAATTCTTTAGAAGCAATAGAGAAGTCCAACACTCCAACCAAGGTGTGTGATAGTGTGGAGTCACTTTCCACTTGTCACAGCAAGAGAGGTCTCAAATCAAATAAATGTATTGAATTTGTATTAAAATCTGGTATAAAAACAAGTAAAGAACAAATGAGTCAATGTCAAATGCCGACCATGCGAGAGAATAGTAGAATACGACCTGAATGATGCTGAATCTTGGGTTACTTAAGATCGAGTTGGTTCAACGGTTAAAACGACGTGTCATTTATTTGTGAATCTCTTTCTCAAATATCTCAACAAATATTTTTAATTTATAAAATAAAATAAAATAAAGCATGTTTCATCCAAGCATGATAAGCTAACTATCAAACCTCTAAAACCTCAAATATGTTGTTGACTTAACATTTCCAAAAAGAAGATTACTCACAAAAGTCATACCAAATACTTAACATGTATTGAGGTAAATACCAAAAGATATGAAACACTTAGAAAATGAGCAATATTTCCAGAGATTTTTACTTTGTCCGTCGGCTTAATTTCTTTTGTTTGGATTTTATAGTTCATTCACCTAACACATTAATGTTCTTTACAATTGACTCATTTTGTATTGTTTAGCTAGTTATTAGCCTCAACACCACAATATAATTTATAATCAAAACTTTTCAACTTTAGGCACTTCGAGATTTAGACGGTTTAACAATGGGATTAATAATTAATTATGGTTTGAAAAGAAAGATTAATGTCAATAACTTGCGCCTCAATGGATTGAAAAAGGCTACAAATACTAAAAAGGAAGTGACAATCTTCACTCAAAGAAAAATAGACACAAATTCAGTTGCTCTAGCTTTTCAACACCAATTCAGTTGACTTTTAATTACAATAAGCTCAAGTACTTACAATTTTGTGCAAACATTGACTGATTTTTTTTAATAAAGAGATGAAAGGGCAAAATGGTCAAAACACATTAAGGACATCCAAGAAGAAGATTCAAGATTTTTTTTTTTTTTTGGCTAGTTTCAAGAAAGAGATTCACATATGAATGTTCTACAACATTGATTCCAAACCAAACTGCATAAGTTGCAAATATATTCACCCTACACGAGAAACGCCACTATTCTTGTGGATTATAAATCAGTTAGGGAATCTTGTAGCTCTTCTCACCCACGGGACCATCAAACGCTGCTGCAATCCAGCGCCATTGTTGCCTACACTGTTTCTATTGTCTGCAAACCTTCTCATTCTCATTCTCTCTTCTTTCATGGTCGCAAACCGAGAGTCCAGCGTCTGAGGCCATTGTCTCTGCCCACCTCCTCCTCCATTTGCTTGCTTCTGCTCTATCTTCTCCCTTTGCTGCTGCTGCTGTGGCTGCATCGTATTTACAGATTTAACAACCCCATCAATCAATCACTTACAATGTCTTTATGGATATGCCCAAATGCTTTCATCACAATGATCGTATAACACACAAGATACGCATATCCGGTCAATTCTTCTGTTCTGTTCATTACTCATGATAGGTCGTGCTCATGAATAAGGAATTAAGAAATATATTTGGACTGTGTCACTCAAAGTTTCATCCCATTATCATTCTAGACTACGGTCCTTGCTAACCAAAACCAATCTAAACCTCCTCTTTAGATAAGTTGCACCACCATCTAAGCCAGTTTATGGATGCAGCAAAGAAAAGAAGTAAAGAACGAAGGTTTACGAAGCGGGTCTAATGCAACCTAACAGATGGATATGAATAATTTACCTTAGCGACAAACCCTCTTTGTGCAGCTCTATTCTGAGCTGGTGGAGTGATAAACCTGCACAAGAGAAAAAGGGTTGAATAACTGGAGAAGATTTGCAGGAACAAGCCACTTATATATAACATGAGGAGTCTAGAGTAAATCAGCTTAGAACTTGCACCAATAAATCAACGTTCTGATACCGAATTCTTGATGATAAAATTTTAACTTCTTACCACCATAGAATGATCTAAGAAGAAAGCCATGTAACAACAGGAATACAGGATAAAGAGAGAGCCTTTTATAATAGACAAAGAAACACTTCATGATCCTAATGCCCTAACTCCAGTTTCCCAGTAGCTAAAGGAAACAGGGCAATTCTTGAATTTTCCAACTGAATTAGTGATTAACTGGTCAAGAGTGCATCTGTTCTCAATAAAGAAACTTCTTCAATACTTTATCAGGAATTAAAAGCAGACAGCTTGAAAGATGATCTGTCACACAACAATTAACAACGATGTTCAATGATGAAGATCCGAGTAACTGAATCCTCATGCTGTCTTAGTAACCCTGCATCTACTTATTCAATGTCACAACAATATACCATCTGACCCAAGCTATACTCTTCAGGTCACAGCAAGAATACAGAACTCAACATTTTGGAAGCTGATATGAATGCAATTGAGTTTCATGGATGGAGTGCGAGAACATCAACAACCATGTATGATACCATATTGCACCAACTTCAATTAAAACTGACTTCAAGCAACAACAGAGAAAGTCTTGAACAAACTCCAAAACCAATGACCAGACATGTCTCTGCTCAATCTGAATGAGCTTGAACTCCTTCCTTTGTCTCAAATCTACCAACCCATTAATGTTCAACTAGATGATATTTTGAGCGACGGTTATACAGTCATCAATCTGATGACCATCCATCATCCAGGAAGAGAATTACGAAACACGAGTGTACAAACCCGTGTTGCTGTCCATCGAAACACCCTATGATAAGGAGCTTAGAAGCTTCTTCTAGCAGCAGAAATAATCGAAGATCATATAAAGAGCCCATGTTAATAAACAGATCAGAGAATTATCTGTAGCAGTCTAGACCTTGATTGATTCGTATTAGTCATCCTTCCAGCATTATAAGGTCTACCACGGAGTTGATTAGCAGAAGCGGCTTTACGAGCAATGGTTGTTGTTACAGGAAACTGGTTTCCTTGGAAATTAGTCCTCTTCTTAGCAAAAGCACGCTGAAATAATGATATAAATCACATAAACTTCTAAGTGATAAGACAATGAAGCAAAGACAACAAATTCACAGAGAACACAAAAACACGAACCTGTCTAACATCAGACCGAGAGTCCATATAATGCTGTGCTTTCACCGCACTATTCTTCGCAGCACCATTAAATTTCTCTTTTTTATTCTGCTCAAACACAATAACCACAAGCCAAATGTTCAATAAAGAATCATAGAGACATAAAAATGTAAGCTTTAAGATTCTTACCGATGCTCGCTGTTTCTTGCCTTTATTCACATTGGTATTGCTCTTTTCCATCTTGATAATTTCATCTATACCCACAAAACACAAATATAAATGATCATCAAGCTATAAATTAAAAAAAGGATACATCTTTGTATGAGTAAACAACAAAAACACACCTAAAGACATGTCCATTTTCTTCTCTGTGAGAGCAACAGTCTCCGTAGTAATCGGTTTTTCAGTCGCCATCTTCAAAAAAAATCAGACTTGGGCAACCAAAATGAGATACATAAACCCTAGTTTTACAAACTCTCTGAATTGAAGTAACATAGAACGATTTACAAACACTAAGAACTCATTAGTTCTTGAATCAAGCACTAAGGAGATACAGAAGAGATAAACAAACCCTAGTTTTTTAAAGATCAAATTGATATGATTCAAGAATCAATCAAACAAAACCCTAAAACTAAATTGATTCGTGTGAAGAATGGAGGAGAAGCTAAAGAGATGAAATCTTTTACCGATTTTAGGAAGTCGATTGTCTCACACTGAGACCAAAAGGAAAGATTTTTTTTTTTTCGGTGCGATAATGAGTGAAACCAGAGAGAACTGAGTCAACTCGTAAGTACTTCAACGCAGAAACAGCAGATTTTTTAATACATCGAGTGGTCGGCGGATCCCAAATGGCAATTATTGGGAATGCAAAATTAGTGAAATCTAAATAATGTATTTTTAGAGTTTTCATATATATTATAAAAATATATTAAAATGATTATAAATACATTATTTTTTGTAATTTACAATCTTCTATAACAATTTTCTATAACTCTAAACAATAATATTCAAATATTTTTGTTAAAGTTTACAATTCATCAATAATAACTAATGATATTGCATACAAAACTTAAAAAACTCTATACTTTTAAGAGAAATTGTTAAAAATGCCCCTTTTTCAACATCCCTTTTCAAAAATGCTCCTTTTGAGAGTCCATTTTTAAGTTTGCCCTCTTTTAATTTTTAATGACCATTTTACCCTTATTTGAAACAAAATTAGGTCCACAAAATACAAAATATTTTTTGGCGGGAAAAGTGATCCCGCAATTTTCCCGCCAAAACACTTGTAAAAACCTTTAAAATACCTTGTAAAATTTTCCCGTAAAAATTTTTCCCGCCAAAAAATTTTTTTTGCAGGAAAAGTGATTCCGCAATTTTTTTGGCGAAATCTTTTTGGCGGGAAAAATTTACAAGGTATTTTAAAGGTTTTACAGAGTATTTACAAGTGTTTTGTAAGGTTTTACAATGTATTTTAAAAGGTTTTACAAGGTACTTATAATGTTTTATAAGGTATTTATAACTTGTAAAACCTTATAAGAAACTTGTAAAACCTTATAACTTGTAAAACCTTATAAAATAGCTTGTAAAATCTTATAATATCTTATAAATACCTTATAAATACGTTGTAAAACCTTTTAAAATACATTGTAAAACCTTATAAATACCTTGTAAAAAACCTTTAAATACCTTGTAAATTTTTCCCGCCAAAAATTTAACGCCAAAAAAATTGCGGAATCACTTTTCCCGCAAAAAAAATTTTTTGGCGGGAAAAAATTTTACGGGAAAATTTTACAAGGTATTTTAAAGGTTTTACAAGTTTTTACAAGTGTTTTGGCGGGAAAAATTGCGGGATCACTTTTCCCGCCAAAAAATATTTTGTATTTTGTGGACCTAATTTTGTTATATTTCCTTATATATTTGTGATATCTTTTTATTAAAAGAAGGGTAATTTAGTCATTTTGTACATAAAAAGGGGTATTTTTAAAAATGGACAGTCAAATGGGGCATTTTTGAAAAGGGGTATTGAAAAAGGGGCATTTTTGTGAGTCTCCCTATTTTTAAAACAATTTTTTTCCTAAAAAATACATTGTTTAGGAACAGGTGAATATTTATTTTTGGCAAAAATAGTTGATTATTATAAATCTAAAGTGGTAGCAGTTAAATTTGAAAAAGATGGTTTGCATAATAACTAAAAATTTGTAGCACAATACCTTAAAAATCTATGAAGAGTTGATTAATTAACTATAGACTAATTAAAAACCATATTTGTCCTTTGAAATTATTATTTTAAATAATTTACGAAACTATTTAAGATTACGCAATATTATATATATATATATATATTAATATATATAATAATATATATAAACAATAACACCTTTTAAAATTTATAGCCATCATTTAAGATGATGTCTTTTCCGAAAGAGTAGCCAGCGTTCGCGACATACCTGGAGGCGATTCAGAGAGACAAAGAAGAGTTTGATTTATTTACTTTATCTTTAATTTTACGAAATTCGAATATGAAAGCGGATAAACTCGCACAAACTGTTCGTACCCAACCGCGTCTTACTACTTATGTAAACAATATTCTACAACATTGGCTTATTTGAGTCAATCTAATAAAGTTGTTGACAAAAGAAAAATTTATAAAATTATTAAAACCAGTTTCCTAGTTTTTATATATTTTGAAGCAATAATGTTGTGCTTAAAAAGATTTGACATCATAGTGACAAAAGAGTTTATTTGTGAAATCTCAATCACTCATTTTGAAATGCCTTTAATCCTTCTAGTTGCCATTTATTGCCAAAAAGTTATGGTCGTATGAACTTTACTTGTCTGACCTAAGATAAGAATAATCAAAGCTTTCTTCATGTTTTTTTTTTTTTTGCTTTCTTCATGTTGATTGGAGACTTTTGTGTGTTTATAATTAATCTTGTGTTGCAGGAGCCAAAAGAAAAAAAAAACATAAACAAACACAAAGAAATTGTAAAGACGTGGGAACTATAGAAATCAGTGTCACTCATCTTGAAATGTCATTGATTATGGACTTAGTTGACCTGAAATAAGAATAGTCAAAGTCTTTCTATGGAAAATGAGTGCTATGAAATTAGACTAATAAAAGTCTTAGTGTTTGTTTGTGTTCCTAGCTAGAGCGTGGAGCCGTGGATGACTAGTGAAGGTGAAGCTATGTCGATTGTTGTGGATGTCAGTAGAGTATCAGGTACTAGCACTCAAGATGAAAATATCTACGAAAGATTGAAGAAGGCGGCTCAAGTTGGAGATATAGAAAGACTCTACGAGTTGATTGAAGAAGATCCAAACATTTTAGATCACTTTGATAAACTGTCTTTTTGTGAGACGCCACTACACATTGCAGCTGAAAAAGGGGAAACTCATTTCGCCTTGGAACTAATGACTCTTAAGCCGTCGCTTGCTTTGAAGCTAAACGTTTCAGGTTTAAGCCCAATGCATTTAGCCTTACAAAACAACCACATTCGAACGGTGAGAGGGTTAGTGGCAATCAACAGCAACTTAGTTAGCATTAAAGGAAGAGGAAGGATTACTCCTTTGCATCATGTGGCTCGAATAGGTGATGCAGAATTGTTGAGTGAGTTCTTGTTTGCTTGTCCTTCTTCGATAAACGATTTGACGATTAAGTGTGAGACAGTTGTGCACATTGCTGTGAAGAACCACCACTTTATGGCGTTTAAGGTTTTATTGGGATGGATTAAGAGAGTAAACAGGAAGAAAATTTTGGACTGGAAGGATGAAGATGGTAACACAGTCTTCCATATCGCTGCATCGATAAATCAGACTGAGGTAAAAGATGTTCTCTTATCATTTAGTTTCTTATTCTCCTTGAAATATTCTTGTTCAGACATTTTTGTTTGGTCCATGAAAATGGATAGGTATGCTCCTATGACCTTAGTATAGGCATCTTATTCTTATCAATTTTTGCAGGTCATGAAGTTGCTGCGTAAAACCGTAAAAGTAAAAGCCAAGAACTTGGATGGCAAAACCGCGATGGACATACTTCAAACTCACCAATCTCCTTGTTTCCCTGTAGCAAAAAAACTTCTCCAAAACACTAAAGAAAGGCTACTGTGTGGTTCCACAACGACTCTTGCGGGATATTTGAGCAAGAAACTATCGTTTATTGAGAAACGGAACAATCTCTTGGGGTTGAGTAATTTGAGCATGAATAAAGACAGGTCTATAAACGCTAGTGACCCCCGCAATGCAATACTTGTGGTGGCTATACTCATAGTAACAGCTACATACCAGGCTGGTCTCAGCCCTCCCGGCGGGTTTTGGCAGGATAATTCTTCAGAGCATGAAGTATACGATCGTCACACCGCTGGGCAGATGACTATGTCGTTCTTCGATGCCTTATTCTTTATTAGCCTCAACGGATTTGCCTTCATATCATCTCTATATGTGATAATAATCATCACAATTGGACTCCCCAAGTGGAAGTTAATCTATGGTTCAATGGCGGCTTTAAGTATCGCTACTTTAGCATCATACAACACTATATTCCCGGATCCATATGGCCTATATTGGTATTTCCCAGTGTTCATCGTCCGTTTTACATACCCATTGATTATAGGAATCATGATGTTTGCTACTTTACTGGCATTCATTGTTGATAAACGTCGTCGGCACCAAGTAGACTTCCCAGCGAGTTGCTTCAGCTCATCTCAGGAGCTGTGAAGGTATAAGTGTTATGTTTTTGGTATCTATTTTTACTCAATAATGTTATACGTATACGGAGGCTGTCTAAACCTTTTGAATTTGTGTTGCTTTGTTAAAGTGTATTGTCATTATTACGGTATAAAAGAGTTATTCTACTTGAACCATTTGAAACAAGAGAGAAGAATTGAACAATATAGATTCAAAAACTAATCATCCCATACTTATTACTTTTGCTCTGATAACTGAGTTTACCGGGAAAATCAAAACCCGGAATGTGTTTGTATCTGTAATAATTGTCTCGTTTTTATTGTATGGGTAAGTTAAGAAAAAAAACAATGGTCTTGACATGTCTCCATGAGAAGCTTACTGTCATAGTGGGATTTAGTTGTCGCCATAGAGCCACTTCTCAGAGTTACTGGTGTAAGAAACAAGTTCTTGAGGCTTAAACCACAGACTGATCTCATCCTTTGCTGTCTCTGGTCCATCACTTCCATGGATTATGTTCCTGCAGTTTCACATTTCAATTACCAGTTCTTCCAAAATGTCCTAATGTGAATTGAAAAAGAAAGAGAAAAACAAAACATACCTGCCAACAGTAACTGCAAGATCTCCTCGGATTGTTCCAGGCTCAGATTTCTGAGGATCGGTGGCTCCAATTAGTTTACGTCCATATCTGATCACACCATCTCCTTCCCAGACCTAAAAACGAGTCAATATTAGTCCATTTTCTTTGAGTTTGTTATAAAATTGCAAAAGTTGAATGAAGAGTTTCTCTTATCTTACCATGGCAATAACAGGACCAGAGCTAAGGAAGTCACACAAGCCATTGAAGAAAGGTCTTTCCTTAAGATCATGGTAATGCTTTTGTGCGAAATCTTTGGAAGGAACAATGACTTTGATACCAACAAGCTTGAATCCCTTGCGTTCGAATCGAGAAATGATTTCTGATATCTGAGAAAGTATTTACACATATGATTAAAAAAACTATAACAACTAAGACCAATCAAGACTAAGCAAAAACCAAGCTTTTCTTTTTATTACCAGTCCTCGTTGCACTCCATCAGGCTTGATAGCGATAAAAGTTCGTTCCATCTGATTAAAACAGAAATGTTAAGCAACGACGATTACTAGAGATCAGGGATACATAGGAGAGAAATACTAAAAATGGTTTAATCTTATTACCTCAGCAGCAAGAACCTCTTGATCTTGAATCATATAGGCTATAAAAGAAACAATAGAACATAACATCGGTAAATACTTCACGATTTTAAACTAATGGAGCCTGAAAGATTCGAAATTTATCCTATTCTAATCAAATTAACATGTGATTTAACTTAAGATTCGGCTGCATTTTTCGATATATTCAAAGAATGTGGCTAAAAACCTGCAGCAGGAAGAGCTAAGAGTCCAGTGATCCAACTCTTTGAGGAAACACCAGAACCTGATGATCTTACAAAGTTAGATGCATACAAAGGAATCTTCCCCGACGCCGAGACCGCTGCCGCAGCACCAATGGCTCTTCCTTCTGAAAAACCAATCATCCCCAAATCAAGAAATAACAAACATCAGATCTTAAAAAGCTAATTTGATTCAAAACTTAACTATTAGATTCCCAAATTCAGATTCTTTCTTCCAAGAACAACACACAAGAGCATAATTCTCTAACCCTATTCAAATGATTCCATCACTGAATCAAATCTCATCAGATTTATATCAAGTTTCTCAAAATCCCATAAATGAAAATCAAATTCTGAATCAATCAATCGATTTCACGAATCATCTAAAGAGATTTACTAACACATGATTCACCAGAAAATTTTCCAGAAGAGAGTCAAAACAGAGAGAAGATTGTGAACGTACCGGAGAAGAAACGAGCATTTTTAGCTGAAGAACGAAGAGATTTGGCTGCTTTGGAAGCAGATCTGCAGATTTGGGAGCTCATTTTTTGTTTTGCAGAGAGAGTGATGAAGTGAAACTGAAGCCTTGGAAAATGTGGAGATGATGAGGTTTTGTTGGGTCGGGTTTTTATAGCCCACGTGTTTCGGGTCGGGTTATATCGGATTCGGGTCAGAAACCCTACCCAAAGAGAAAGTAGGCAGAAAGAATTATCACGAGTCACGTGTTTGGTAAAACGTATGTGTTATGTGTGCTTAGTCATAGATTCACAATTTAATTTATAATAGCTGTCAAAAAAATTTAAATAATTTCGTTTTCTAGAAACACAACACAAAAGATTACAACAATTTTCTTTTAATCCAATATTATGTGAATGTGAATGTCAATATTAGGGCTGGGCAAAAAATTCGTCAGATTCGCTTCGCTCCGTTATTTGGTTCGATTCGATTCGAAAAATCCGGATATCCGTAGTTTTATGAGACAAATCAAATATTAAAAATTGATATTTCTTACAAGCAGAGCAAATAACAAATACTAAAATTTAAATAGGCGGATATCCGCTCCGATCCGGTATACATGAACATATGTATATGTATATAGATAATTACAAATATATATATTAATAATTTTACTATTTTTATATGTAAGTTTTATAAGTTTATGTTCATCAAATTAATTATTTAACTATTAGTTTTAACAATTAAAGAAGAAATATTTATTCAGTGAAATATTTTTTATTTTGGATTAAATTTCTGATTTTTCTTTTTTTAATTTTTATAATTTTTTTTTATATATACTGAGCAAATCGAATATCCGGAAAATAGTTCATATTTTAACAGATATCAGACAGTCGGATATTCGATTACTTACGAAGCAAATACGAATCAGAAAACCATATTCGGACAGAACAAATCGGATCACAAATATTACCAAAATCTCGAATATCCGCTCCGTGCCCACCCCTAGTGAATATCCATAGAAACACAATATTTGATGTATTGAACAATATTGTAAGAAATGAGTTATCTACACCCTTTTTTTTTACCTACACCTATTTGCTTCAAGCTAATTCTTTAGCAAGGGACATTGTCAAAAATGTGATTCGGGATGTTTTAGATCACATTGGAGGACCAGTCTGACTTCACTCTTGCATTAGAGAAGAAAGAAGTGTTTAGTTTTCTCTTTCTTTTTGTTGATTTTGTGTTTTTATGCTCTGTTTATAGTTCTGTTTTTGAACTTTTATGCTCTGTTTCAAAGTCCCTTGATTCAATTAATAATAATAACAAAAAAAACTACACCTTTCAAGATCATAAATGGAAGATTAAGAGGATAGCATAACAATCTTATAACATACTTCAACATAAATTTTCTTGTCCCAATGTATATTTGGGAAAAGGTTTTAATACATAGAAAGGAAATTAAAAAAGAGATAATTCAGCTTTTATTTTTGACCACAGAAAAGAAAAGATAGATAAATCAGCTTTAGTACTTGAGACCAAGATTGAACTCAAGCCTCAAGGGACACACTCTCAGCATTAGTACCATCACTGTTGTTAGCACCATTGTCCTCTTCATTTTCCCCAATTTCATTCACTCCAATCTACCACAAACAATCGTTAATGAGATGGATATGTAGCATAAAAGTTAACCTATGTTTGGACTTGTCAATATATAAAATATTATTCTCCTCGAATGGTAGAAAAATAAGATTCAAAGACACATGTTTGAGATTTTTTGGTGTCACTATTAGAAGAAAGAGTTGTATATAATCCTCTCTTACTAGAACCTTTTATGGTATTTTCTATATAAAATCATCCATCTTCATATGCAACAAGTCTACACAGTTACGTCTCTAGGGTCTACATGCATGTATATATCATGATTGTAACCTAAAAATTGTTAATGGATCCTTACTTTTGAAGATTGATAGAGACACTTGCAAGAAACTTCTTTAGTCCCATCACTTGATTCTCCAACTTCGATTATGCTTTTATGCATCTCCTCTTCTTGACTACAATAAATCATTAAAACTTGTATAACTTTTGAAAATGAAATACAAGTTTGTTAAACCAATATTACTTAACTATTTTACAAACCTTTGTTGATTTGGGATAGGGTTGAGAATTTTTTGAAGACGTTCATATTGACGAAGGTGTAACTGTGTTTGCCTCCAAATCACTTCTTTTGTTAGTCTATCCTTCAAATTGGCTTGCATCTCCTCTGCCATAGGATTACATATGTGTGTATTTTATATAAATTTTATGCACACATAAACATAGTCAATTTCCAACACATGCATCTTTATATAACTTAAATTTTAAAGTGCAAGTATATTTATTTACCTTGTTTGCGCTCTTCCTGCTTGTTGAGTCTATACATCTTTTCTAGGCAAAGAAAATAAAGTTGGTTCAATACACAAGCCAAATATATATATGACACTATATGATGCATATACATATAGTGATAGGTAGGTATTAAATGATATTGCTATATCTATGTTAAAACTTGGAGATGACTCTTCACTTGTGATATTGTGAGTCCTCTCACATTCATTTTCTCTAGAATATACTTTGGAGTTGCCTCTGCAATTTGAGATAGTTAAATACCATTCTCTGATTGACAAAAAAAAAATACCATTCTCTATTTACTTTAAACTGAAATAAGGAAATTATTTAATATTGGGATTCCAACTGTGAGAAATCATCTTTTGACTAAAAGTTTGATTGAAAAAAGATTATATATAAAAATAAAGAGAAGTATTATTATCTAACATGTAATCGTCGGAAACTAAAAATGATTGACATCGTGCTAAATTGACAGAGAAAAGTTGTAGATTCTGATGTATTTTTAAAAGATTTTCTCGATTTATTTTGAAAACTTGTACTGAACAAGAAAAAAATTCACGTACTTTCTTCTCCACCGAGTTCATCAACCGCATAAACAAAGTGACGGTGAAGATCGGCGGTCCATCGGCGTCGTGGTATTTCCGACTTATTATAAGATCTAACGATCTGGTTTTTCATAGATTTTTTTCTAGAAATTCACAGATTTCTATTTATTTATTAAAAATGACTATTTTATGCTAGATAGATAATGGTTAAAAAATCATCAAAGGTGTAAGAATTTAACATTAAATTATAAAAAAGTAAAAAAATTTAATGCTAGGAAACAGTTTTACTTAGCATGTCATTTTTTGATTTTCTTAAATTTTCCATATATTCTTTAAAACCAATTAAAACTTTTTTCCATTATTTGAACATC